AGCTAATTAAATGTATTCAAAACTGGTATTACCTTTTTTTTTTTCAACAGATTATCTGAACACACTGAGTTTTGATTTCACCAGTATCACCAGTAAAACTCTGACATGTTGCTCTGGTTCATCCTGTAGATATCAGAACATCCAGAGGACCATGGCTACAGAAGAGGATTCTGGGAGTCAGAGATCAGACAGCGACTCTGAGCCTGCTCAGACAGGTACAGCACAGTCTCCTCTGATAGCACTTACAGTGTGTTCTGCACACAGAATGCTGAGAGTCAGATTCAGTCTTTTGAGTCATGAGCAATTCTGTTGTCTGATGTGATGCTGTGAAGTGGGTCAACGTCTTCAGCTGTGTCGTATACAGTGAAAATACTCCAGCACAGAGGGAATAATCTCACTCAAAATAAACTGCACTTAACTAGAACGTCAGTTTATAGTGTTCTGATTAAATGGGTTTGTGTGATATCATTCAGAAACATGTTGGCCAGTAGAGACTAGCACCGCCCAGGTGTCATTTAACTGAAACTAGTCTGTTAATTACTGAATGTTTCTTTCTACAGGTCCTGTTTCTCCCATCAATCACCAGAAGGTGACCAATCTCCTCCAGTCGCCTGCTGTCAAGTTCATCACTCACCCTGAATTCTTTACTGTGTTGCACAGTAACTATGTGAGTGCTGCTCAGAACAACACACAAATGCAGTTTATGTGGGAAGGAAAGACTCCAGGTGTGTTTGAAGAATTCATTTGTAGGCATTATATGGTGGACTGTTTTATATAGGAGGTAGGAAATCGCTCCATGTTCATATTTCTAACACTACTTGAATGCAGTGGTACTTCATATTAGAGCCTGACCGATGTGGAAATTTTGGATATCGTCGATACCGATATTGGGAGAGGAAGGTGACTGCCAATAACCGATATAATGGCTGACATTTTTTGAGCTTTGTCCACCCAATAATCTAAGTAAATAGTGAGTGGAGCGGGGCTTGTTTATTTAGCACAGCTGTTAGCAACCA